GCTTCAACAAAGAAACATGAAAAGAGTTAGGGATGGGATGCGCAGGGCAGGCGGAAGGGCAAGACGATACGCAACCGGGTTAATCCGACACAGAACCTTGTAAGGGCCTATGTAACAAGGGGCAAATTTCATGGAAGGAACCTTCAAGCGGATGTTTCTGGTACTCAACCACACCTTATCACCCGGGGCAAAAACCGGAGCCACCCGTCTCCGTTTGTCAGCGTGTCGTTTGAACACCATGGAATTCTGAAGAAGAATTCGTCGAGTCTGATCCCACAACTTTCTCAGATTGGCGACATGAACATCAACCGACGGTACCCCTTGGGAAGGGGAAACCGACGGAAGAATGGAAGGATGAAAGCCATAATTCAAGAAAAAGGGGCTAGAACGAGTAGAATCACAAACGAGATTGTTGTGCGCAAACTCTGCCCAAGGAATCAGACCAACCCAATCGTCCTGGTGTTCAGAAACAAAACAACGCAAATATTGTTCAATCTTTTGGTTGGTGCGTTCGGCAACTCCGTTGGACTGGGGATGATAGGCAGATGAGAAATTCAACTTGATGCCTAAGTGAGAACAGAAAGACTTCCAAAAGCGGGAAACAAATTGGGAACCTCTATCAGAAACAATTTCAGAGGGAATACCATGTAAACGAAAAATCTCCCTCGCGAATATCTCAGCTAATTCGGGAGACGAGGGCAGTTTAGGCAAGGGCACGAAATGAGCCATTTTAGTAAACCTGTCAATCACCGTGAGAATAACAGTATGTTTTTTAGAAACAGGCAAATCGACAATGAAGTCCATAGCCAAACAGGACCATGGTCTCTCGGGAATTTCTAAGGGGTGCAAAAGCCCACATGGGAGCGCATGAGGTTGCTTAGTCTTCATACAGACAGCACATGCCCCGACGAAATCCCTTATATCCTTACGAAAAGAAGGCCACCAGAAATCTTTAGAAATCAGGGAACACGTTTTGCGTATGCCGGGGTGCCCAGCAACTTTACTGTCATGAAAGCAATGCAGCAGTTCCACTTGGAGCTCAGGAGGAACGAAGTACCGAGCCCCAGGAACAGGTTTGGGAGCTAGATGTTGTACTTTCTTGATCTCAGCAAGCAACGGCGAGTGTATCCTGACACACGTGTTGGCAATAATATTACACTTGGGAACGATAGAAGACAAAGCTGCTTCAGACACCGTAGAAGGTTCATGTTGGCGGGACAATGCATCTGCCTTAGAGTTCTTAGAACCAGGTCTATAAGTGAGCACGTAATTGAAATGTGTAAGGAACAAGGACCAACGAGCTTGCCTGGCGGACAAGCGCTTGGCCTCCCCTATATAGGACAAATTCTTGTGATCCGTCAAAATAGTAACCGGGTATAAAGTCCCTTCCAACAAATGTCTCCATTCCTTTAAAGCCATAATGACCGCTAACAGTTCCCTGTCACCAATGTCATATCTACTTTCAGGCCCAGATAATTTCTTGGAAAAAAAACCACATGGATGTAACGGTTTATCCAAACCTAGCCTTTGGGACAAGATAGCGCCTATACCTGTCTCCGAGGCGTCTACCTCGAGTAGAAAAGGCAAAGAGGTGTCAGGATGAACTAATATCGGTGCTGAGGCAAAATGTTCTTTGAGTGTTTTGAAAGCAGAGAGAGCCTCTGTAGACCAAGTCTTGGTATCAGCACCCTGTCTAGTCATATTGGTAATAGGAGCAATAATAGAAGAGTAACCTTTAATGAAGCGCCTATAATAATTGGAGAATCCGATAAACCTCTGAATGGCCTTGAGTCCCCTGGGCAATGGCCAATCTAAAATCGATTGGAGTTTAATGGGGTCCATCCTAAATCCGTCTCCAGAAATAACGTAGCCAAGAAAGTTTATCTGAGATTGGTCGAAGCTACACTTTTCCAATTTGCAGTACAATCCATGTTGTAACAGTTTGCGCAATACCCTTCTGACTTGTCTGTGGTGAGTCTCAATCTCTCTAGAGTGTATTAGTATATCATCCAAATATACTATAACGCATTCATGCTGAAATTCCCTAAGAACCTCATTAATTAGGTCCTGGAATACTGCAGGTGCATTGCAAAGCCCGAAGGGCATTACCGTGTACTCATAGTGGCCATAACGGGTATTGAAAGCCGTTTTCCATTCGTCTCCCTGCTGAATTCTCACCAAGTTATAAGCTCCCCTCAGATCTAACTTGGTAAAAATCTTGGAGCCTTTCAGTCGATCAAAGAGCTCAGTAATCAAAGGAATAGGATAAGCATTTCTAATAGTTATCTTATTCAAGCCCCGATAATCAATGCAAGGCCGTAGAGTGCCGTCTTTTTTATCCACAAAAAAGAAACCGGCCCCGGCCGGAGAAGAAGATCTCCTAATAAATCCTTTGTCTAGGTTTTCACGTATGTATTCCTCTAGGACTAAGTTCTCCTTAGTGGATAAAGGATATACCGTACCCCTCGGAGGCATAGTACCAGGCAGGAGTCTAATTTTACAGTCGAAGGACCTATGTGGAGGTAAAGTATCAGCCTTCTTTTTGTCAAAGACTGCCTTTAAATCCAGGTACTGAGACGGTATCTGAAAATCTGTAGATTGGGAAGAGTTAACCGGGGCGTCAACTATGCAAACCGGTGAGACTTTCTGTAAACATCCTCTCTGGCAACCCTGACCCCAGGAGACTATCTCACCCAGTTCCCAGTCAATAGTAGGGTTATGCTTCTTAAGCCAGGGATACCCCAAGACTATTGGAACTGAAGGAGATGAGATCAGCATGAGGGATATTCTTTCCTCGTGTAGGATACCAATGGTTAACTTAATTGGTATGGTTTCACGAAAAATAACAGGTTCAGATAATGGTCTACCATCTATGGCCTCAACGGCCAAGGGTGTATCCCTTAGCTGAGATGGGATAGAATGGTTAGTGACAAAGGCTTGGTCAATAAAGCTTTCAGCTGCTCCGGAATCTATCAAAGCCATAGCATTAAGTACTCCCTTTTCCCAAGCTAAAGAAACAGGTATCAGAAGCCTATGATCTTTATAATCATATATAGAGGACAAGATAGAAACACCCAAGGCCTGTCCTCTTGAGAAACTTAGGTGCGAGCGTTTCCCGGCCGGTTAGGGCAATTTAGGCGTAGGTGACCTCTTATTCCGCAATACATACAAAGCCCCTCCCTTCTCCTGTACTGTCTTTCCTCTTCTGAGAGTCGAGTGTTACCTATTTGCATAGGTTCTGGGACAGCTAAAGTAGTAGAATCA